AGTATGATGTCCCCACCTCAGAATTTCTGCAATAGCTGTTTCCTCTGCTTGGAACACTTCCCCCAGAGGGAACACAGTGCCTTCAAGTCTTTGCTCAAAATTTACCTTCTCTGTGAATCTTTCCTTGACCATCCTATTTAAAATTGCAACAATCCCCTCATCCCAGCAATCCATTGCTGTTTTTCTCCACAGAACACGTCAACTCCACACACACTATATCATTAACTTATCTATTTAGCTTATTGTCCATATCTCCAGTCTAGAATGAAAACTCCATGAGGGCAGGGGTCCTTGTCTGTTTTGTTCACTACTGTACTTCCAGCCCATAAAACAGTGTCAGGCACACGGTAGATCAGGCACAGAACCTGGCAGGCTTGCACAAACAGCTCTAGATGACACCATCCACATGGCCCTGGAGTGGTGCAGCCCTGTCAGGGTCTCAGCGTTTGCTGACTACCTGCCGGGTGATCTGTAATACAGCAGCCATCACAAATACTCTAAGAGTGCAGGGAATTTTTGTTTTTATGGTTTCATTTTTCTTATGTAATAAGCAGGTGATAGGTGCTGCATAGAGAGATGAAAATCTCATTCTGTAAAAGCAAAAATCCTCATAAGTTTCACCTAAATCTGTAAGAATTCCTCTAAACCAGGAGATCTGACAGGATCTATTTTTCTGCCAAACCCCTGTTCTGCCAAAACCATATTAGTGAGCTAAACACTTGAGCTAAATACTCTTGGTTGTCTCAAGTTTTAAATTTTTTTCTCAAATTCAAATAAATGTGGAAATAGTTTCTTAGGAGAGATTCTACAGGCTAATTCACTGATAATTAGGAAAGAATCTAAAATGATAAACCTTCACATGTTTCAGAAATACAAACCAAGGAAAAGTTGGTAATAATTTTTTTTTCAAACTTTTGGAAATAAGTTGCTGATTCTTCATACAATTCTTCATTCATTCCAAGCACTGGGAGTACTTAGAATATTCTTTTAAATGTGACACATTACAACACACCTCAAGTTGATATCTTCCTTCCTGCAGCTGCCAAACCTTAGCAAGGCCATTTGTTTTCCTTTTGTTTTTCATAATTCACATGGATTTGACAATATAATGGTTGGTACTGTAGTGAAGCTACATATCCTGAGAGAGGATATTCTTCTTGGCAAGTTAAGAGCTGATAGGATTACAGATGCCACTTTACACTGTAGCTCTTAGAATTTACAATGAAACATTAGGAATATTGAAAGACAGGAGTTATATCCACTTTTTAGACATATCAGCACATGCTTTGCACACACACACACACGTACAGACACACACATATATTTTAGTTTGTATGCACTCCAAATCTTATGCTTCTATAATTCTATTCCTAATATTTCCAGTCAGCATAATGCTGGCTGCAAAGCAGAAATTCAGAATAAATATTTGTAGACCAGTGTTTCACTGGCTGACAGAATGATTTGCTTTAATATTATCAACAACAGGGATGGAATGTTCAGAAACTCTCATCTCAGAAGCTACAGTAAAGCACGCTAATTTTTTAATTACACTTTTTATTTTAAGATAATTGTAGATTCACATGCAACTGTAAGAAATAATACAGAAAGATCCCACATACTCTTCTCTGAGTTTCCCCCAACATCTTGCAAAACTATAGTACAATATCACAACCAAGGTACTGATATTTTAGTTATATCCAGTGGGAGGAATAGGAAAAAGTATGTCTATGCCACCTTCCAGAAGCAGAAGCTCTTTGATACGCTAATTTTTAAGAGCACACTGTATAAAGTACAAAATGTTCACAAAGCAAACATTAGTGTAAATGCTACCTCCCTGCATTCTTCATTTTTGCCCAAATGTCATCTCTTCTGTAAATCCTTTCCTGAACTACCTATGTCAGAATGAATTACTCCTTCCTTCATGTGTCCATAGCATATAATTTACTCTTCTGTGATGCTTTATAATCATCCAACAGTCTCATCATTGCTTTTATAAGCAAAGCAGACTGGGAATGAGGACCATGTCTGATTCATGTTTAATTATTAACATCTAAATGTCTAATAATAGACATTTATTACTCACATAATATGAGGCATACAGTGGGCACTGGATAAATATTTGTTAGCTAAATAAATAAACAAATTAACATCTATTCAGTACTTACTCATATGTTCTAGAACTCAGTAAGGATTTGTTAAATAGAACTAAACTGTTTCAACATCCGTCAGCCTAATCAGTCCACAATTATTTCTTCCCATGGGGAAAAAAGATGCTCACAAATATATCCAAAGTGCAATTACTGAGGATTAGTATTTTTTCCAAATGAACAATTAATCAATTTATTTAAAACAGTATGCCTAGGCCCATGCATAGTACAAAAGATGTGAAAATTAGGATATCCTGCCCTCAGAAGTATAACACATATTGTGGAGACTAAAAGATATGCAAAAATCAAAGAGTAAATAATCAAGTGTTGTATGGTATAGTATAAACACTGAGTGAAACTGAAGTGTAGGGGAAAAAAGAGAGAATATTACTGACTAGATAATCAGAGGAAACTTCATGAAAGAAGGAGGACTTCTGTCATGCTTTGAAGGATGTTAAGATTTAGTTAGGCAGAGAAAAGGGCAAAGAGAAGGGCATTTCAGGATTCAGAACAATATAGAAAGATGCAAGGATACAAACAAATTTGGCATAAGTGTGAGAATGAAGGAATTCACTTAGCAATAGGAGATAAGGCTGAACATTAAAGCTTGGAATTGATATGTCATTGAATGAGAAGTCAAGAAATCACCATCATCTGAACTACAACACAGTTTACAAAGGGCTTTCAAACATGCATTATCTCATTTAAGCCTCTAAATATCTCTGATGAAATGCAGAGGAGGAACCTGAAGTGACTTGAATATAGGTCTTTAGACTCTCACCCTTGTGCTATGTACACACCATCCTTTCTCTGTAATGTTACAAATAACTGTTTTTTTGAGGGAGGAAACATGATTTTCCCCAGTGATATAAATCTGACAATGTTAAGAAAGATGGATTGGGAAGGACAGACTAGAAAACTGGTGAGGATCCTAACTAAAAAGGCAGCAGTGAATATGGGTAAGGAAGGAGTAAATCTGGGAGATATCTCAGAAGAAGACAGATGACTTAATAGAGCTGGCAGGAAAGGAGTCAAAGAGAAAGCTAGAGCTCCTATTGTAGGCACTGAGGAAAACACTGCTACCTGGTCAACTGAATTGGAAAATGATAATGATAAGTTTGTTTTTGAACACTGAGTTTCAGGAACTATATCCTCTAGGCTTGAAGAAACACAGGATGAAAGAAAAGCATCAAGCCAGGCAGCAAGCAATGAATGTTTTGCAATGAGGTCTGTTAAAACAATAATCGTTAACCTCACTGGAGTCTAGAAGTCCACAGTCACATTTGAACTGCAACCTGATCAGCTCAACCAAGATGGCTCCAGGCACCCTGTAGTAGACGACGGTAGCTATAGTTTTTGGCTTCCCAACATACTTCCTCCACTTCTGCTTTCTTTTTCTTTAAGATTCTCCTCCCTGAGCCCCATACCCCAGTCTAAGTTAGCTGTCAATCACAGTACTATCCCTCACCCCACACTCCACATCCAAATTAGAGAGATGGGATGACCCAAGCAAAGCCAATCATAATATTCCCTGGTATTGATATATGGATGTTGCAAAGAAAAGTTCTGCTTCCACTGAGATTGCTAGGATGTAAATCTAGAGCTTTAGGTACCCATCTTGCCTACGACATGCTGCGAGCCTGTCTGTAGAAAGAACCAAGCAATACAA